GGGTAGGGGGAAAAAAGTAAGATTGTTAGGGTACTGGTATATGGGGGGAGGGGGGAGGAGATAGATAGATAGAGAAGAAGATAGATAGAGATAGAGAGATAGAGAGAGAGAGAGAGAGAGAGAGAGAGAGAGAGAGAGAGAGAGAGAGAGAGAGAGAGAGAGAGAGAGAGAGAGATACATAGATAAATGAGATGAGGAAGAGAAGAAGAGAAGAGAAAGAGAAGAGAGAGAGATAAGAGAGAAGAGAGAGAGAGAGAGAGAAGAGAGAGAGAGAGAGAGAGAAGAGAGAGAGAGAGAGAGAGAGAGAGAGAGAAGAGAGAGAGAGAGTAGGAGAGATGAGAAGAGAAAGAGAGAGAGAGAGAGAGAGGAATAGATAGAAAAAGTGAAAGAAAAGTAAAATAAGAGAAGAGAAGAGAAATAGATTAAAAGATAGATAGATAGATTATAGATATAGAGAGAGAAAAAGAGGAAGGAAGAAAGATAGATAATTATAACGCCTCAAGACGACAGCCTCGACAAGACCTCCTTACCATCTTGAAGAAAAATCACCATCATTTCCTCCTCATCTAATTCCTCCCCTTTCGGCTTATTAACTCTTCATCTCATTTCCTCTTCTCTTTATCGTCAATACGCCTCTCTTGTCTCTTTGACCCAATCTCGTCTAACCCTCCTACCTCATTCCTCTCCCCCTCCCTACCCACCCCTCCCCATCCCCTCTCCTGTCACCCTCTCCTCTTCCCCTCTTCCCTCTCCTACTCCATCTCTCCCTCTTCCTATCTCACCCTCTCTCCTTCTCCCTCTTCCTATCCTCACCTCCCTCTTCCTCTCTCCCTACTCCTTCCTATCTCCCTCTCCCTTCCTATCCTACCCTCTCTCTCTCTCCATCTCTTCCACTAGCCCCTCTCATCCCTCTTCCTACCTACCTCTCCCCTCTTCCTATCTCCCTCCCTCTTCCTATCACCACACCCTATCCCTCTCCGCCTACCCTACCCACACCTCTGACCCGCCTCTTACCTTGGCCAATTACCTTGATTTGACCTGTTATGAATGCACTTAACCCTGGCGGGATTGTGGAGAAGATACGCACGTGTAGAAGATGGGGAAGGAGAGGGGGTGGGTGTGGGGGGATGGGGGAGGGACAGGGGCGAGGTGGTGTTGAGGGGGGGGGAGGTTATGTGGGGAGAGATAGGAGGAGGTAGGGAGGCTGGTGGTAAGTTGTGGGCGGGGATAGGCAATGTGGTTGGGGGAGGGAATGGGGGTGGCGGATGGGGGTGGGGGGATGGGGGGTGGAGGGATATTGTTTGTAAGCTAAAGCTGCTTTTAATACAAAGGCGGAGAGTAGGTGGAAGGAGAAGGGGATGGAGGAGGCTGATGACTACAGAGGGAAAGGAGAGAGAGAGAGAGAGAGAGGAGAGAGAGAGAGAGAGAGAGAGAGAGAGAGAGAGAGAGAGAGAGAGAGAGAGAGAGAGAGAGAGAGAGAGAGAAGAGAAGAGAAAGAAAGAGAAAGAGAGAGAGAGAGAGAAGAGAGAGAGAGAGAGAGAGAGAGAGAGAGAGAGAGAGAGAGAGAGAGAGAGAGAACATTAAACAAGAAAGAGACCAGACAGTAAGAGAGAGACACCAGAAAACGAATAAAAGACCAGAAATAGAGCCAGAGAAAGAAAAAAAACTAGAAAAAGAGAAACAAATCAGTAAGACAGAACTACCAGAACAGGAGAAACAAGAAACAGAAAGAGACAGAGCCAAAGAGACCTAGAGAGCGAGAGGCAGACAAACAGACAAGCAGGTAGACGGACCATGACATGAGCTTAGACGTGAAGGGAAGGAGACGGCAAAGGAGTAAGAGGATCAGTGGGATTCGGGAATACTGGCAGAGGAAAAAGGAAGACAACTGACGGAGTAAATATATCGAATAATGCCTTTCAGTATGATCTGGCCCTTCTTTTACTAATTCTTTTATGATAAAAGGCTGTCGGATATATTGTAAAAATGTTGATGAACATAATGCTGTAATTCTGCTAAATAGGTAGAGAAACACGTAAAGATTAAAGTATATTAGATGTACCGAAAAAAGTTGAACATAATGCTGTAATTCTGCTAAATAGGTAGAGGAACACGTAAACATTAAAGTATATTAGATGTACTGAAAAAAAAAGTTGAACATAATGCTATAATTCTGCTAAATAGGTAGAGGAACACGCATTGATGTTATTTTAGATGTTATTGCTGCGGTGGCTTACAGTCTTACCTCATGGCTTGAAATATGGGTATTTAGCATATTTATTTATTTGTTAACTTTATCATTAAGCTTACGGTAGTTTAGACTGAAAGATTGGTTCTTTTAGACCAATACTAAGGTGATACTAGTAACTAAGGTGGTCCCTCTTCGACAGCATTTAAGAAGGCAAAAGCTCTGATAGTGGAAAGCCTTTAACTTACGTGTATGTTAACATGGGTACTTACTAGCCTTGTAAAAGATATGAATTAAGATTTGAAGGGTGAACAAGAGCAGCCAAATCTCAATCTGACAGTGGAAAGTATTTTATTTATCCGTTTGTTTGCATGTTACTATTTTTTTGTGAAAGATATGCATTGAGAAGATTTGAAATGTGAACAAGTAGAGTTTCGCCTCAATCGGATAGTGGGAAAGATAACACGAATAGTTACTATCCTAACGAAAGATCTGAGAAAACATAGAGGGATGACCAAATGGTTTAGTAAGGCACCACAAACAATTACTCAATCACTATCTTAAACGAAAAATATCTGAAGGAAGAAAGGTACAAAGCCTCACCTCATTAGAGAAATTACGGTACGGATCCCCTGTCGGTGCACGAGTCGTAACGGTGAGGACAGCATCGTAAGCCTTCTTTGCACGTTCGTTATTCTTCTCGGTGTCGCTGGCGTTGTACCACGAGTTGTAGCTCGCTGCCGTCCTGTAAAGGGAAAAGCATGTATTGTACTGTGTGTAACTCTGTGGTAGTGACGGTTGCTCTGTGGTAGGAGTGTAGTGTTTCAGATTTTAATAATTTTGTGCTTAAAGGGGGGAAAAGGACACATGGTGTGAAATGGTATATAACAAACATCGTATTACAATGCCTGTGTTATTATTTCCGGTGTTCTTAGTTCATCAAGATCACATGACGTGCCGTGTTTGTCCTGTTGCGCCTACGACTTCCGCCATAGTATATGAGATATGTATTGTTTCTCTTTATTTATCTGACCATTATACTTCAGGTACGGATTAAAGGGGTCGGGTGGGTTTCAGAGGTTGCAATCCTCCCTCGAAACAAGGAAGGGGTAATAATTCCCAACACTGCAATATTGCTTCCACACATATGCTCACTTCCTCTCTCAGGCACATGTACGCGCACTCTCTTCTCTCCTCTCTCTTCTCTCTCTCTCTCTCTCTCTCTCTCTCTCTCTCTCTTCTCTCTCTTTCTCTCCTCTCCTCTTCTCTCTCTCTCTCTCTCTCACGCACACATACCACGACGACCCATAAAATATATAGAGTGACGTAATGGAGGAAAATGAGTTGGTTTTTACACAAAGACGTGATGATATTACTTAGTGAAGGAAAAATCGTGAGCATTTTCTCTCTCCCTCTCTCTCTCTCTCTCTCTCTCTCTCTCTCCGTCTCCCTCCCTCCCTCCTCTCTCTCTCTCTCCTCTCCCTCTCTGTACGTACGCGTGGGTCTATGTGGCTAAATATTTGATAACCAGAGGGTCTCATTGCCCCAGTGAAGATGTTTACCAATTTCCTTCGCAATGGCATCCTTAAACTTTTACCAAAAATATTTTATAATTTTTTTCAACACCCGAGTTTGTTTGGCCCTAGAATGTAGTGTTGTATAAATATCATCCTGAAAAGATTCAAAGACGAGCTGAATAACCGCCGGGAAAATTCTCCTTAAAGTAAGAAAATATTTTTTGATATCATTTTATCAACTAATATGATAAAAGTTCAAATTTCATCTGACCTTAAAGGAATAAATTATCAGTAGTTCGCTGAAAAGGTAATGAAACAGGCATATCATATGCGTAGAGTTTTATTTAATATTTTGGCAAGTAAGTGACTCACTCTCTTTAAACTGATTATCATCAATTTAAAAAGAGCGAAAATAATATATCATTATATATGATTTTCCATTTATGTTCACAGTGAGGCAAACTCATGATACCGAATATCAATTTAATACTTTAGATATCACAGTTATTTACAAACACATTTGTAACGATCCTCCCAAATAAGTCTTAGTCTGGTATAATCTGAGAACAAACTTTTGCAATATGCCGATTTACAAAGTTAGTCTTACAATGTATTATTCAGTCTTATTGTATTCCCTGAATAGCTAAAAATGAGTCAAATATCACATCCGTCTAGGCCTCTAATCACCAAAACATGAGAATTAGTAAAAATAAAATAAAAGGAAAGAGCAGAGAGAGGAGAAAGAGAGGAAAAGAGAGAGAGAGAGAGAGAGAAGAGAGAGAGAGAGAGAGAGACGAGAGAGAGAGAGAAGAGAGAGAGAGAGAGAGAGAAAGAGAGAGAGAAAAAGAAAGAGAAAGAGAAAGAGAAAGAGAAAGAGAGAAGAGAGAGAGAGAGAGAGAGAGAGAGAGAGAGAGAGAGTAGAGGAGAGAGAGAGAGAGAGAGAAGAGAGAAGTAAAGTTTGTCGAGATGCCGTATATACGAGATGCTGGCTGGTTTAGAGTGCTCGGATCTGCGCTTTGGGGGGGGGGGGTGAGGAGGCGAATGGAGGAAATATGTGCGGGTTTCAAAATGCAACAGCAGGCCATAAGTTGTGGAGCTGCGACGAGATGAGATATCTGTGCTTGAAATATACTGTAGTTGAATAGATGCACGGGGTGTGTGGTATATGTGGAAAGGCAGATGTCGTGAATATTGTGCTTGTGAAATCTAGGTTGACTGGGCTTGGAATGTATGTACTTACACGTGAGTTGGGTTGGTAGATATATTGTATAACTATTCTAATGTGTATTTTAATACTTGCTGGGTAAATGGGGTATATTATGTATAATATACCCCATGACATAATGAAATAGATAATATGATGTATAAATGACAATCATTACACACACAGAGAGAGACAGAGAGAGAGAGAGAGAGAGAGAGAGAGAGAGAGAGAGAGAGAGAGAGAGAGAGAGAGAGAGAACGAAGAGAGAGATGAGAGAGAGAGAGAAGAGAGAGAGAGAGAGAGAGGAGATTTTGGCAGTAAGGTTTAAACAAATCGAATAAGCCTAACATTCCTACCACGCATCTACATACCGTACGCGATTATTTAGTCCTATTAAACTAACTCAACATTTACTCTGATATCTCCATTTACTGTGTATTCTGTTACCCGCATTCGAAACTCTATGCTTATTTCCTGTGATTTGCAATGTTTCATCTCCGATATTTGAGGGCTTACTTTCCCATCCATTTACTTATAATCATTTATATTTTTTGTCGCAGTTGTTAACATTTATATCAGTGGTTTCCAACTTTTTTCACTCTGCGGCCCCAACCAGAATATAATAATTTCCATGGCTACGTTAATTGTCTTTTCAGATTCAGTTATTACTTGTTGTGATTAGTGTAAGGGTGTATATGGCTATAGGACACTGGAAAGATTCCAATTTGTGATATGTGAGAAATAATCATATGTAATTCTTTAGGGAAGACAAAATTTAGTTTAAATCGACGTCATAACTTTTATATTACTCCATGGCCCCTAAGAATGTACCTTGTGGCATCCAACTTGAGGTACATGATATAGTTTTAAAATTGCGCCAATATCGTAACCAAGCGCACAAATATTTTTTTTTTTTTACAAAATAAACATTATATATCAGTCAATCTATTTATATTAATATTACGTGACTGAGGACCTACTGATATGTATTTTGTTATTATTTTTTCAAATAACCCTAATGAACGATTCTTCATAGAGGTAGGGAAAAGTCATCAAATGTAGATGATTTCAGTTTGATTCAGAGCGTCTCTCAGTCATGATTTATATTGGATCATAAATCTTAAAGTTAAAAGAAATATACGTTTTATGACTTTTTATATTCTCGAGAATCTTTCGCATTTCTATTTATATAAAGAAACCGAATTATATATGCATACGTATATACTTACGAGCACACATGCATACACGTATAATGATTATAATGATAATAATGATTAGAATATTGATAATAACGATAATAACAAAAACAATAATGCTGATGAAAATAGCAATGGTAACAGCAAAATTGATAACAATGATAACAGAAATGATAACAATATCAATAATGCTAATGATATAATTACAATATTAATAATGAAAATGATAATACCAATACTACTAATATACTAATAAAAATTAATGATCTTATCAACAGAAAATCCATATTATCTTTCTACTTGTTTCGTCTATTCGTTCGCATGTTTTCACTGTACATATTCATCGACTCTATGTGATAGCGGAGTTGAAGTCGCTTAATTTTGATATAAATTGTGACAGATAACGCCTATAAACACTTTATGTGAGCACAAATACACACATACACGGAATAAAGCATTATACAAGTCTGTTAGAATCCTCTCCTAACTTTATCATAACAATTGATATCATTACCGTTATTATTAACCTTATCATTATTGCTTTTTTTATCGTCATTATTATAATTGTTATCGTCATATTCATTACCATCATCTTCCCTCTCATTATTGTTGTTGTTTTTAACCTTCCTTTTCTTTGAGGCAAGTACACTGTACCGAAGTACTCAGACCGCCAGTTTATACAATTATTATTTATATGACAATCTGAAAGGGCGATAAAGAGGGAAAGTAGGAGAAGGAAAAAAGAAGGGGAAGAAATAAAGGAACTTAAAGAAGGAAGCCTAGGGTGGAGGGGGGGGGGGAGAAGGGGTTTAAAGAGGAAAGGGCCGAAGGGAGGGCTAAGGGGCTTAAAGATAAGAAGGGAGGTGGGGAAGGGGAAACGGAGAGGACTTAAAGAGGAAAGGGAGATAGGTAATGGGAAAGGGAGGGGAGAGGGAGAGAGGGCTTAGAGAAATGGGAGAGGGAGTGAAAGAGAACAGGGAGCTAGGGACGTGGGGATTTTAAGATAAAGATTTGAGGAGTGGGAGTGAAGGAGTGACTTTAAGGAAGGGGGTGAGAGGGGGATAGATGTAGGGCTGAAAATGGGAGTGGAGTGAATTTAAGGAAGAGAGTGAGAGAGGGAAAGAGAAATCGGGAAAGGGAAAGAGAGAAGAAAACGCAAATGGGAGAAAGTTTATCATTATCATCATGAATTTTCATCTGATATTTTCGTCGAATTTCATTGAAACTGACCGGAAGTGATTCATAACTGAGCTGTGGCGAAACTGGAATGTCTTATTACACCTATCCGTTTCTTTTCATAGTTTACTACTTACTACTAGCACCGTGGTACTGTGATAGCCTACTTTGTTATTGTACTTTGATCAGCCTGTGTTATCTCCACAATACTGTGAAAACCTATACTGTTACCATACATCTGTTGCCGTAGCACTGTGTAAGGTTTTCGATTTGCTCTCTCTCTTTCTCTCTCTCTGTGTCTCTCTCCCTCCCTTCTCCTCCCTCCATCTCTCTCTTTCTCTCTCCCTCCCTCCTCCCCTCTCTCTCCTCTCCCCCCCCCTCTCTCTCGTTAAAGATTCAGAACACTCTGTTAATTAGTTCATATGTCACTTCATAGTGAAATCTATTTTCCATTTTAATAGATCGTTCAACTACCTGTATGATTCATCCTGATGAATAATGTATACCTTTGCTGCACCATCCTGTGATTTTATTTTTTATTTTTTGCCAATGGATTTTTTCCCCACGATGACAAGAATTGCCTAGATTTCAGAAACACAGTTCGTTAAACTTTTAAAATGAAATGCTCGATATGATAGCCCGATTTCCTTCCTTTTCTTGAGCTGAAATTCATCTTATATTTCAACTCGTAAATATTTTTTATCTTTTATTTCAGTATTAAATCCCGGTTACATAAAAAATAAGTTTTCTTTTATTCAGCAGCAGATATATTTAAATCCTGCATGATGTTCGCTTTTATGTGTGTTTGGCAAAATGTATTGGGAACGGCTGTGTGGCTAATGGCCCACCGTGTGCAAGGAAAGCAATTATTTTGAAGAAAATAATTGCGTACTCAACCCTGAAAACAAAAGCACACGTTGAATGAGGAACTGATAGGGAATGGTCATAAGATATTTTTCAGTCAAAACAAAAAGTTTTATCATGATTTTTTTTTTTTTTACAATTTATTTGCTCCTAACGATGCGAAAGATCGTGAATTCCGGAAAAATATATTTTGTTATATATCACCATCTCTTAAATAAATTGTTCTTATTAATTCAGTTAACATTTCCTCTTTTTTACAATTATTACCCAGACTCATAACATGATAAAAGTAGAAAATTAATAAAAAATCGAACATGACTAAAAGAAAAGACAAATGTATGATATATACATACACTGATGTATACTGTATTATCCTTTTCTTTTATAACATGATTTAAAAACCTAAAAAAAAAAAAAAAAATGTTAACGCCTTTTCACAGTACTATTTTGAAATATCTTAATTTACAGAAATGTTTTTTTTTGTGGTTTAAAAAGTCTTTGTTACATAAGTCAGTCGGAGAAACATCAGCTCACCTTTAATTACACATTCTCAACAAAGCAATGAAAATCTACACAGAACTTATTCATATTTCTAAGAAAGGTAAATAAAATAATTCCAATAAAGTTACTTTTTAAGCGAAATTATTTAAATAAAAAAGAAATATCACAGTCCCCCCGTTACAGACCATTTTCTCCACTGAATATAGAAAACGAAATGGCATCTCGCTTCGGGGAAATCTTTCAATAGGCCTAACAAAGACTTGTTAATATAGAGCCATTAGGCCTCTGTCCCTTTACAATGTGGTATTTGATGATAAGTCATTTGGGATTTGGCACAGGAACAAACGCATCAGACACGTACGTGATATCGAAATATTCAATTTTATTTTATAGCAATGTGATTCTTTTTTCTGCCAAATAAGCGGTTGATATATTGTACTATCACTTCAGGTACGTGTCCATCTATTAGGAATATGCTGGAATACCTATCCAATTAGTTAAACTTTCTGTCTCATTTCTCTCCTGATGTACAGATATATATTTATGATCCTACCCATGAATACACATGGAAACATTTCACACAAATTTTCACTTTTTTCCGCTCTGACGTTAATACAAAAAAAAAAAAAAAAAAAAAAAAAACAGTGACAAGGGAATTAAATATATTATATCACCGAGAACCCCTTTGGAAATGTTTCAAAATATCATATACATATATATGCACTCGATCCGCTATCAATGCACATTCGACAACAGCATTGAGTAATAGCATCAATCACAAGCATTTCGAAATTTTCCAGATCTGTTTTACTGAAAAATATATAGTGTTCGTTAGATACTCAGCATTCTGTCTTCTACAAAGAGAGATATGATACAAATCATTATCAATTCACATCGGACTCTGACTTATTCTAGATGTTTTTAATTAAAAGAACGAGCCTGGATTGCACCTGCTGTCCAAGTGATAACAATAAGTTGATAAAGTAAACGAGGAATTTCGGGCAAGCAATTTCCTATTTGGTTTCGGATCTGTTTACATATGTACATACTGCACATATGTATATACATGTATGTATATATAGATATGTGTGTGTGTGTGTGTGTGTGTGTGTGTGTGTGTGTGTGTGTGTGTGTGTGTGTGTGTGTGTGTGTGTGTGTGTGTGTGTGTGTGTGTGTGCGTGTGTGTGTGTGTGTGTGTGTCAACCGCAATACAAAAAAAAAAAAAAAAAAAAACTGAATTCTACTCACCCGTTGAAGATCTCCATATTGAAGAAGGCATAGTCCCCGCCAACCATATCTAGCGCTTCTGCCGCCAACATAATCTTCCTCACGTTCTCCTGTTCTGCGCAGATCA